GTGAGGAAAAGGAAGGAAACCGCTAATATGGATAATGCTGAATGAAATGATCCTGGGAAGGAACAACGTTCTAACAATGCCATGAAGGTTGAGTTCACATCAAATGAAATCCCAAGAAAATGATCCTGACTTAGGATGCTCAATTCCTGTTTTTCAGTGCTGGCTTTTTGGGAACAAAGTCATACTATAACACGAAGGCTGCTTCACACAATTTCCCTGACCACAAACTGGTTAATCAACCATAAGGGCAAAGTTCACATGAAACACAGGGCTTGAAAGAACACACCTTAATGTGATGTTCACCCGCCCTCTTAACTGTAATAATAATAATAATAATGATGATGATGGTAATAATAGTAATAGTAATAATAATAATAATAATAATAATAATAATAATAATAATAAAGTTGGAAGGGACCTTGGAGGTCATCTAGTCCAACCCCCTGCTCAGGCAGGAAACCCAATACCATTTCAGACAAATAGCTGTCCAGTCTCTTCTTAAAAACTTCAAGTGCATTCACCACTTCTGGAGGCAGGTTGTTCCACTGGTTAATTGTTCTATCATTTGCCTGTAAGCAAAAATTGGTGGGATCATAAAATAGAGAAAGTCATAGAAAATGATAAAATTACAACTACTCTGGGACTTCAGAATTTAAACAGACAAGCACCTGAAACATAACACCCCGGACATAACAATTGTCGATAAGAAAGACAAAGAAGTCTGGATAGTGGACGTGGCAGTGCCTGGAGAAAGCAGAATAGACGAGAAAGAACTGGAGAAGATAACAAAATACAAAGACCTACAAATAGAAATAGAAAAACTATGGCAAAAGCAAGCAAGGGTAGTACCAATATAATAGGTGCCTTGGGTGCAATCCCAAAACAACTGGAGCACCAGTTGAACACCATTGGCATTGACAAATTCGCTATTAGTCAATTGCAAAAGGCGACCTTACTAGGAACTGCTTCCATCCTGCGACGATGTTTGTAATACCATCAAACATCCACATCTGCCTATCCCAGATCCTTGGTAAGGACTCGATAGGTAGACAAAATGCCAAATCCAGTCTGAACATCTGGCTGACTGTGCGATGATCGATAATAATAATAAAGTTGGAAGGGACCTTGGAGCTCATCTAGTCCAACCCCCTGCTCAGGCAGGAAACCCTATACCATTTCAGACAAATAGCTGTCCAGTCTCTTCTTAAAAACTTCAAGTGCATTCACCACTTCTGGAGGCAGGTTGTTCCACTGGTTAACTTTTCTAACTGTCAGGAAGTTTCTCCTTAGTTCTAGGTTACTTCTCTCCTTGATTAGTTTCCATCTGTTGCTTCTTCTCCTGCCTTCAGGGGCCTTGGAAAATAGCTTGACTCCCTCTTCTTTGTGGCAGCCCCTGAGATCAACTTCTATGAAAGACTCAAACTTTTAGTAAAACTTTAGATATCAGAACCCCATTAATTATTCTGGCCCAAACCCCTTTGGGAACTTGAGAAGCCTCAGTTAACAAGCCACCATCCGATACACAGAGGACGAAGACCAAAATGAACGAACCATTGACAACCTAAACTGACCTTCTGATTCATGCAACTCCGACAAACACGTTCCCCACTTCTTAGCCTAATCCACGCTTTTCCAAAGATGGACAAATGAAGATAAATATGGACTTCAACTTCCAGGCTTGAAAGAGGTTTGGGAAACACCAGCCCAATCGGGCACCGAATGCGAATGCTGCGTTTCAGCCTCACTTACGTCCTTTGTCTGCCGGCAGAGCCCCTTGGAGGTCGTGGGGAGAGGCGGGGGAAGCAGCACACCAGTCCCGGTCCTCCACCCGGGGCCCCGGTCTTGCACCCGGAGCAGGCAGGGGGATTTCCTTTCAGCCGCGCCTTCCCCCCGCCATGCAGAGGCTCCCCCGGGAAATGGGGGGAAAGGGCCCCTCCCTTCTGGCGACCCCCATTTCTCTCCTTCCCCCCCCCCGCCCCCTTGCCGGGCCCTGCATGGAAAAGAGGCGCAGCGGAAGATGGGACCCCGGACTCCCACCTGGGGGGAAGACTTGGCCCGTCTCCACGCTCACCTCCACCGCGGGACCCCTTTGCACGGGCAGAGCCGCCACTCGTGTAAATCGGGAGTCTCGTCGGGCTCCGCCTCCCCGCAGGGATTCCCGGCAGCCTCCGTGCCTCCCGTCCACGCCCCGCCCCCGCCTCTCAGCGGAGGGAGGAGAAAGAGCAGCCTTTTCCTACGATTTCTCCGGGAAACGCGGGTGTTCTGCCCTGGCGGAGGAGTCCTGCGCATGCCCAGTTTCCTCTTGAGGCTGAGAGCCCTGTCTGGTGGACTCTGTGCGAATTGTCAGCAGTACTCGAAAGGGCGGGAAGCAAGGAGTGCGTCTGAAGCGAGGAGGGCAGGGATGATGGGTGTGGGAGAAGGAAAGGACCCTCTCAAAGGCTTTGATATCTCCAGAAGCGGCGTCTTTTCCATCTTCCTATGCAGGGACCATTTGTGGACGTGGAGAAAAAAAAGATCTAGAGATTTTCAACTCGCTTCCCTCAAGAACACTCGACCTAAAGGCTCCCCAGAGATTGGCCTCAAAATGGGCCAAAATCCTCTCAGAAACTGAGGGGCAATCAGAAGACGAGGACCAGGAGGCTCTTTTCGGAAACACTATTTGTGTCTTGCAGTTGTTGTGAACTCTGGCTGAAGTGGAGGAAGATGGGACATGGGCAGGGAAGCCATAATTGGGAAAATGCATTTCTATTTCTCTGGTTGTGTATCTGCAGCTGCCCTTGTCCAGTTCTTGGCTCTGGATGTCTTAGAATCACTGAGAAACCCAAGCAGCTGCTTTGGACTCAGGAAAGGACGCTGAAGGGAAAGAAAAAACCGCTCCAAAGTGGGCAAAAAGCTGAAACTGGAGGATATTCCAGAAATTTTACTTCAAAACGAGACTCCTTGGAGGAGAAATGGGAAGGGGAAAGTGGCGTCTTATCTGCGACTGGAGAAAAGTTGAAACTGCAAAAGGATGGAAAGCAACTATGGAAAAGATAATATATCATTAAAATACTATGAAAGGCGAAAAAGAAGAGGAGAAATGTTTTATTTAGGGCAGTGATGGTGAACCTTTTAGAGACCCAAACAGCAACCCAAAACCCACTTATGCATTGTCAGGAGGGTGTGGCCCATTAGGTGGGTGTGGCCCATTGGATAGGCATGGCTGTGATGGTAACTGGGTGGGACTAAAAACTTCAATCAATCAATTCCAACTTTGCAAGATCTTTTTTCCCTGCGAGAAGTTGAAATTGACTGATTGATTGAACCTTTTTTTTTTTTTTTTTGCACACGGCTGCGGAGGCCTAAAGCGACAAGGTTTTATAAAACCCAGCTGAAGCCTAGGAGTGGGGTGACGGCATGCCCACAGAGAGGGCTCTGAGTGCTGCCTCTGGCACCCATGCCATAGGTTTGCAACCACTGTTCTATCTCATCATGACAGGACTTTGACCGAAAAAAGTTCCCTCCTTCTCCATTCATACTGGTTGGCTTAGCTCTTTTTCACAATGGATTAGAGTTGGATTATTTTTCATATTCCTTCTCACAGTTGAGAAGTTCCCATTCTCATTTCTGCTATAGAGGAAGAAAGATTTAAAAAGTTTTGTCTTGAAGAGATGCATCATGGAGATGCAGCTCCTTCTGTTTGTTGTGCAAGCAATACCTATTAACTGTCTGCCTGGTCCCATCCCTCCTAGACCAATCATTTTCCAAGTCAACAGTGGGATATATTTTCAGCTGAGCCCCTTGTCCAAACTAAATACACTGAGGTGGAGACTGTAAATCCAGTGGGGTTTTTGTAGGATTAAGCATAAGTCACGGAGGATCTGATGTTACACAGTCACATCAGTTTTCTTTTGGAACATGTTTATAATTTAGCACAATATCCCAAGAGGTTTTCCGTTTCAACATCTTCCAATTCATATATAACTTCTACCAAGAACTATAGTTTACCATAAAAAAGGCTGAGCACCAAAGAATTGAGGCTGGAGAAGACTCCTGGTGCTGGAGAAGACTCCTGCGACTCCCTTGAACTACAAGGCGATCAAACCAGTCAGTCCTAGAGATCAACCCTGACTGCTCTTTAGAAGGCCAGATCCTGAACTTGAAACTCAAATACTCTGGCCACCTAACGAGAAGGAAGGACTCACTGGAGAAAAGCCTAATGCTGGCAAAGATCGAGGGAAAGAGAAGGGGACGACAGAGAATGAGGTCGCTGGATGGAGTCACTGAAGCAGTAGGTTTGAGCTTAAATGGACTCCAGAAGATGGTAGAGGACAGGAAGGCTTGGAGGAACGTTGTCCATGGTGTCGCGATGGGTCGGACACGACTTCACAACTAACAACAACTGACAGCTATAAAAAGCTTAACTGTAAAACAATGGCTACTTAAACTATTCTATTCATAAGGTATCTTCTTTGGCAACACACTATTTTGATAATTCATAGCTAGTGATTATTTTTGCAATTCTTGTCAGACTGGCCAGTTTACTCCCTAGGAAGAATGACCCTTGATTTCATGGATGTTAGAGAAAAGGTACTTTTACTAGAGATACTGAGTGCAGCATAAGCAAGGCAAGCAAAAACCATATATTGAAAGCAACGTCCAATGCCCAAAGCCCTTCCCCTGGCTAGATCAGTCCAATCCAATCCTGGTCCAATGTTTTAGCAACCTGGTGTCTCAGGAGTGTGTGGGGGAAAACGCACGGGTAGCAAACTGCCGTGATCCCCCCCCCCCACAAACCTCATAACCTTTTGATACTCTTTGTCTCAGTGAAGCAGCCAGAAGGTCATACCCTTTTGACTTATCTACCTAAACAGATAATATGCTTAGTTCCTTCTACCTTTTCCTGCCTTTGTTGGTTCCTTCTCCTGTTTGCTCTTTACCTGGTCTTTGATCATGTAATGTGTTACTAGGAAATAGTTGCTTACATGAAGACATTTTCCAATGAAGAAACCTTTGTCAGCATCTAACCGTTAAGCTGGTGTATGTAACAAGTATACAAAAAGCAATAAACTCAGAGTTTGTCAAGCTGTGTTCTGCAGCTTCAAATCTTTGCTCAAGACATGCCTGAGTCTTTTTCTTAGCATCTTACAGGAGTGGCTATAAATTCCTTTCCCAGGGCTGGTGTCCTTGAGGGCAGGCAGATGACTCAGTTTGGTACCTGTAGTTCCTGTTAATGCTCATACTCCCCAAATTCTCACACCATTCTTTAACGCCTCCAGTGCTCTTCCTCTACCAAATGTCCCCTTCCCCCTAGTTATGGCAGTTGCTAGCTAGCTTCAAAGAAAGCAAAGATAGGCATCTGACATCATTCCTGATTAATGCCATTCCCATAGTATGCCTGGAATGACATTTTGCTAGCTAAGCCCTATGATTGCTCTCAAAAATTAAACTTTTATAAAGTTTCATTGGGGATTTGGGCTTTCTTTATTACGATCCAACTGGAAATGGAATAAACATGAAGAAAAAAGATGTTCGCTTATTTATGTGAAATGTCATTGGTGGTCTTCAAATGACAGTTAGCTTTACAAAAATCCACTGTTCATAATTAAAAACACCACATGCGTAGCGTTTCGTTTCCATTAGTAAATTCATCACTCTGGGGCTTCCAATTGTGAAGGTGAGTCAAAATGTTCAGTAGATGTAATTAGGAAATGCATATATTTCAGCAACTAACCTAATAGTTAAACAGATTCTCACCAAATGTATCTGTATATGGAACATTCAGCCATTGGTCCTCTTGAAGCTTTTTCCATATTTCACAGATTTATAGGTCTTTTACACTGTGTGGTCCTTTTATGGAAGTTAAGATAACTATTCATAATAAAACCTTTTCCACACACCATACATTTATACGGCTTCTCCCCTGAGTGGATCCTTTTATGGGTGTTAAGATAATTCTTCCTACGAAAACTCTTTCCACATTCAATGCATTTATAAGGCTTCTCCCCTGTGTGAATATTTTTATGGGAGGTAAGGTTACTAGAGTAAGAAAAGCATTTTCCACATTCTATGCATTTATATGGCTTCTCCCTGGTATGTGTCCTACTATGGTAAACAAGTTCGCTGTTCTGAATAAAACTCTTTCCACACTTCCTGCATTTATGTGGCTTCTCCCCTGTATGGGTCATTTTATGGATGTTAAGATAACTATTCGTAGAAAAACTCTTTCCACATTCCATGCATTTATAGGGCTTCTCCCCTGTGTGGGTCCTTTTATGGGTGTTAAGATGACTTTTTGTAGAAAAACATTTTCCACATTCCATGCATTTATAGGGCTTCTCCCCTGTGTGGGTCCTTTTATGGGTGTTAAAGTAACTGTTTCTAGAAAAACTCTTTCCACATTCCATGCATTTATAAGGCTTCTCCCCTGTATGTGTCCTATTATGGTAAATAAGTTGAGAGTTCTTAATAAAGCTCTTTCCACACTCCAGGCATGTATATGGCTTTTCCCCTGCGTGGATCCTTTTATGGAAAATAAGGTTAGTGCTCTTAGGGAAGCTCTTTCCACACTCCATACATTTATATGGCTTCTCACCTGTATGGATCCGATAATGCAAAGTAAGAGAAGTACTACAGGTGAAGCTCTTTCCACACTTTAGGCATTTATAGGGCATGTCTCCTGTATGGATCCGATAATGCAAAGTAAGATAAGTACTACGGGTGAAGCTCTTTCCACACTCCATGCATTTATAGGGCTTCTCTCCTGTGTGGATCCTTTCATGAGAAGTAAGATTGCTGCTCTGAGTAAAGCTCTTTCCACACTGAATGCATTTATAGGGCTTCTCTCCTGTATGGGTCCTTCTATGTGAACTAAGATGAGTTGTATGAATAAACGTCTTTCCACACACCATGCATTTATAAGGCCTTTCCCCTGTGTGGATCGTTTCATGTACAGAAAGATTTTTGAGTGAGCTCAAGCACTTTCCACACTCTGTGCATTTGTAGGGCTTCTCTCTTGTGTGAATCCTTTTATGTGAAGTAAATTCTCTACTGTTCGTAAAGCTGTTTCCACACTCCATGCATTTATAAGGCTTTTCCCCTGTGTGGGTCATTTGATGACATGTAAGATGATTGTTACTAGTAAAGCTTTTCCTACACTCCTTGCATTTATATGTTTTCTCTCCTGTGTGAATCCTTGTATGTGAACTAAGATGAGTTCTATGATTAAAGGTCTTTCCACACTCCATGCATTTATATGTTTTCTCTGCTTTGTGGATCTTTTTATGGTAGATAAGTTGATGGTTCTTAATAAAGCTCTTTCCACACTCCATGCACTTATAGGGCTTCTCTTCTGCCTGGGTTCTTTTTTGAGATGTATGGGACTTATTTTTATGAGTAGGAGACAAGGTCCATTTGTAATATTTCCCATTGTCTCTAGATATATAATCTTCTCCTTTGGTTTGCGTTTGATTGTGTTCATTTACATCAAATTTGTCTTTGAATGGTTTTATACATTTTCCAATATATTTGTTCTTTGTTTTTCCTTGTTGAGCCACAGATGCTTTCATTGGTGCATGAATGGAAGATGAACTTTCCTGATTCCAATTATTTGACTGGTTTCTCTCATGGCTTTCTACTTCCATTAGAATTGTAGGGTTCTTTGTATTGAATCCACAACTGATCACTTGGAATAGTTTTCTGGAATTTTCATTTTCCTTCCCATTATTACCTTCAAAAAGAAAAGAAGATTGAAAGTTTTGAACATGAATCTAGGGTTCTATGGCAAGGGAAAAGCCGTAAATTAAATATCAAATTCTCCATGGTTCGAAGGAAAAGGGAAGATTTGGTTTGCCTGATTTCAAATTAGACGTTGTAGTCTGCTGTGTGGTTTGGATAAGAAATGGGAGTTCTTCAGAAATAAGAGAATTGACCTGTGGGAATACCAAATTAAATCAAGAATGCAAAAAGGATATTCAATGCATTCAAAAAGTATTCAGACCCCCTTCATTTATGTCAAATTATTATGCTGCACCTTGATTCTACAGTGGTTGAAAATCATTTTTTTCTCATTAAGGTACATTCAGTACCACATAAAGACAAAGTGAAAAGAATTTTAGAAATGTATGTAAATTTATTAAAAAGAAAAAAATGAAATATCACGTTGACATAAGTATTCAGATACTTCATTCAGTACTTTGCTGAAGCACATTTGGCAGCATTTATAGCCTTCAGACTTTTTGGGTATGATGTGACAAACTTTGCACACCTGGCCCTTTGCAATAACATGTGAAATTCATGCCTCCTATTTCTCTTGATCATTGCTGACATGCTTCTACACCTAGACTGCAGTCCACCTGTGGTAAATTAAATTGACAGGACATGATTTGGAAAGGCACACAGCTGTCTATAGAATGCCTCACTGCTGACAATGCACACTGTAGCAGAGTAAAAACCATGAGGTCAAAGGAACTACCTGAGCAGCTCAGAGACAAGATTTTTGCAAGGCCCACATCTGGGAAAGGCTACAATAAAATTTCTGCTGCACTGAAGGTTCCTACTATAAGTGGTCTCCATAATTTTCAAATGGAAGAAGTTTGGCACAACCAGAACTCATTCTAAGAGCTGGTTACCTGGTCAAATTGAGCAATCGTGAGAGAAGAGCCTTAGTAAGACAGGTGATCAAGAACTCGATGGGCACTCTGACTGACCTCCAGAGATCCTGTGTGGACACTAAAACATACAAAGAACAGCTGCAGGACTTGGGCTTGGCTACTCTAAAGAAATGAAGAACTAGGGGTGACATGATAGCAATATTCCAGTATTTGAGGGGCTGCAAAAAAGAAGAGGGGGTCAAATTATTCTCCAAAGGACCAGAGGGCAGGAGAAGAAACAATGGTTGGAAACTGGTCAAGGAGAGAACCAACCTGGAACTAAGGAGAAAGTTACTAAAAGTGAGGACAATTAATTAAGGAAACAGCTTGACTTTAAAAGAAATTCCAGTTAGCTCTTGAAAAGGTACTTGTGGGACAACTATGACCTGGATGACTGAGAATCTCCATAGACATGTAATTGTCAGTATTTTTCATATCAAAAAGACTCTAGGTAGATAAAGGGAATTATAGTATAAAGCAGAATTTGAATCTCACTTGCATGGAAAAGATGAATATGTAATTGCTAAAACCTCTAAATAGGCTGAGCAATGTGAAAATCAGCAGAAAACATATTTAAAAGTGCATAAATGTACCTCAAACTTACACTGGAAATGTGGACAAGATAAAGGGTCATTTTGTCATGCTTTAGTCAAGTGGACTTGTAAAAAACCTAGAAAAGTATGGATTCAAAGACATTCAGTGATACAGAGAACTTTAAAGATTAATATCCAAGTGAAATCAGAACACTTCACGTTGGCACGAATTAAAAGTCATAGAAGATAGTTTCTCAGTATGACAGCCATAGTGAGACTATTATACACGTAAAGCTGAAGGGCTCTACAATAAGTAGAATGGTGGACTGGTTGGGGATACACTTTTCACTAATGACTTAATTGACTCTGATTAAGATAAGGATAGTATCTATATTTATTAGTGATTGGAAACCTCCAATGGACTTTGCTGAAAAAAAGAAAAAGTGATCTTGTCATCAAACTTGTGTTCAAAGATTAGAATGGATAAATTATCTAATGTAAAGAATGATGTAACCTTAGAAACGGGACAAATTTTAACTTCATTATTACTTTGTCTTTTCTCTTTCTTTTCTTAATTTCATCATACTTTTTTCTTCTTTATTATTCAATTATTTTCTTCATTTACACTTCAAAGTTGTTACTGTTTTTATTCTGATAAAATTTCTTTAATAAAAAGAGCTAATACATCTCACTCGGACTGGGGAGTAGCATATTCTTACCCAAAGAGGCCACGTTCCTATGATTTTCCAGCATGACTTCCCGATGCAGTGCTTTTTGGTCAGCATACAGCTGAGACCACTCCTCCTCAGAGAAATACACAGCCACCTCCTCAAAGGACACAAGACCCTGCTGAATGAGAAGAAAACAGAAGAAAAATGAGAAGGATTTTCAAGATCAGCAAGACTTGATATACATTTCAGGTCATTTAGTGAAATTAGTTGCACTTTTCGTATGGATCTGCCTCTCTGTCCCCTACTATCAGCAAGACTTTCAGCATCTGGAGAGAATCAACTGGAATGGGCTTTGGAACCCCACCCATCACTCACTCCCAAACACCCAATATTTGCAGATGAAAATGCAGTTGGTGGTAGTTCTTTCTACCAATTCAGTAAAAGGCTTGTGGTGTCCCCAGAGCAAACAATTTGATCCATGCTCAAAACCTTCACGAAAGTTGTTTGAGAACCACCCAGGCATTTACATGGGTGTCATCAACAGACAAAGGGACACAAGCCCTGTTTCCGCTGCTCCTCAGATTACAAGGAATCCACGGCTTGTACCCCAACCCAATCGCTGAAGAAAAGAAACCTTCCTGGGAAGAGCATTTCTCATCCTTTCCAAAGCTGGATTGTTTGGCCCCAAATTCCAGGCACAAATCGGAGTATTAGTAATTCCTCTAAAGGCTGAAGGGCCTTGATCTTCCCACCCTCTTTGGATTTTAACTGTCTGCTTCATCTTTTAACCTGGTGCCATTATTTTTCTTATCACTAAACAAGGAGCATTAGAAGTTGTAAGGTGCCAATGTGATTCTTTCCGTTATTATTGCACTATTCCATGCCAAAGAATTACTAATAGGATTACTGTTTAGAAAACGCTAACATTGAGAACATTTTATCCTTTATTATACCTCTCTTACTTGAGTTGGAACTTCAACCACTCTTTCAGCACCACCATAGAAAGGAGTCAGATTTGTTCTATTCTTCCCTGTGAGGGAGACAGAATTTTTAAAAGGATAATTAATAAAATGGCAAGACGCCTTCTACAGAAGAGAAGAGAGAGAAGGTAAGACAGCTGGGACCTCTCTTGGGAATGGGTGGATTTTTGATTACCATCTGAGATGTCCTGACTTGCGGATTCCTGATAGATCCTCCTGGAAAACAGCTCCTGAGGAGAATTTGATGGATTCCCGATTCTCATAGGATTTCTGGTCTGCAGAGGGAAAGACTTGAATAAGACATCACACAACATGAAGTGGATTCTTATTCTCTAAAAACAACTTCGGTGCCCCAAAATCAATCAATGAGCCTAGAATGTAAGAAAGGAACAGCTGTCTCCAGTTTTTCTTCTAGAATGGATAATGGAACAATATCCTGCAATAACTAGTGAAGCATCTCCACATATTACGAAGAGCAGAAAAGTAGGGAAGGGAGGGGTGAAAAATTCAAACACATTCTTTATTCCCTTCTGGACTTCAAAGATGAAGGTCTCTCACCTGCAATTTGACTTGCTCCTTCTGCTCCTCTGCCTGACTCAGGAGGAAGCCTTCGGCCAGGGCCACCGCTTGGGAGCTGGTCTCTGCTCCACACTCCCGCAACCAGTTTTCTATCAGAGGGGGCAGAAGGGCCAGCAGCTGCTCCAGAACTACTAGGTCCAACATCTGGGCTTTGGTGTGCTTTTCTGGTCTCAGCCATTGACTATAAAGGTTGTGGAGTCGGCTGCAAAGTCCTCGGGGACCATCAATCTCCTCATATTGGATATTTCTGAAGTTCCAGGGCTGAATCTCTGAACGGATGATGGTTTTCTCCTCCAGGTACTTCTGCTCAGTTTTTGCCCAGATCTTCCCACAGCTGCCTGGCTCAACAGCAGAGGGACATTTTCCAGTTCCCTCACTTGCTAACCGTTGTTTCTGCATCTTTCGTCTGTCCTGGAAGGAAATTCCAGATAGGTCAGAGCAGTGGTTCTCAACCTGTGGGTCGGGACCCCATTTGGGGTCGAACGACCATTTCACGGGGGTCGCCAAACAAGGCTGTCCGCCATTTTTCCCCCCTTTTCCTTGGCCATGCCCCTGGCACCCGGTGATGTATAAGTGGTTGGGGGTCACCACAACATGGAGAACTGTATTATGGGGTCGCGGCATTAGAAAGGTTGAGAACCACTGGGTCAGAGGAATCTTGTGGATCTCCAAACACCTTTCAATTCATAGGACTATTCTGGTAGCTGCAGAACTGACCAAAGGCTATCCAAGCTCTTTGCCCAAAAATTAACTTTTTGTTGTTAGGAAGGTTGTTGACATTACTCTAGTTTCTGCATCTGAAGTGGAAAAGAAAATAAATTTCAAAAATGAGAAGGTGGTGGACAAAATTCCTCCTCATGAAGGTGAAGTTGGTAAAGGATTGCATTGGTATTCAGCAGATGGATCCTCTGGGTATTTCTCTTTTTGTGTGTCCATCAAGTGTGGTGTAAAATATGGTCCTAGATTACATCAAGACATGGAATATTTTATATTGGATTATAAAATAAATGTTTATATTTGGTGGATTTTCAATATTTTTTCCCTGAAGGGCAAGTTAGCTTCCTTTCACATTTAAGATCATATATACCCTACAATTAAGGATCATACAAGATGCTAGAACTCAAAGTGCTTAAGAAACTGCAATGAAATACAGAATTTTGACACGTTTCATCAGATGAAATCCCAAGGAAATGACCCTGACTTAGGATGCTCACTTCCTGTTTTTCAGTGCTGGCTTTTTGGGAACAAAGTCATACTATAACACGAAGGCTGCTTCACACAATTTCCCTGACCACAAACTGGTTAACCAACCATAAGGGCAAAGGTCACATGAAACACAGGGCTTGAAAGAACACACCTTAATGTGATATTCACCCACCCTCTTAACTATCATAATAATAATGATAATGATGATGATGATGATGATGATGATGATAATAATAATAATAATAATAATAATAATAATAATAATAATAGAGTTGGAAGGGACCTTGGAGGCCTTCTAGTCAAGCCCCTACTCACCCCCTACTCTAGTCCAACCCCCTACTCACCCTATCTATACTTTACCTATACTGCACTAAATATTTGCAGCTTCTATTTCCAAAATGGAAAACCAAAGTAAGTACCAGGAAAATCTATTCCCCACCCCCAGCCCGAAAAAAAAGATAACAAGAAGAATATCTTATAAAACCACTAAAATCAGGGAAAAAAGTGAGGAATCCTATTAGATTTAACAGCTGGGGCATATTCTGATAAATCCTTCTTGATCAACTTCTATGAAAGACTCAAACTACTGGACAAATACATTTAAATTATGGTTTGAATTTCAAATTTCTGGTTACTTTTTCTAATGATTTCAAAGTTAGAGTTAGAGAGTTAGAGTTAAGAACAATCCTACAAACAATAAATGTCTCAGGTCAGAAAACAGCAGCCATTGAGATGAGACCTATTTCAATCGGTTTCATAAGACAATAAATCAACATCAGAACTTTTAGTAAAACTTTAGACAGCAGAACCCCATTAATCATTCTGGCCGAAACCCCTTTGGGAACTTGAGAAGCCTGAGTTAACAAGCCACCATACGATACACAGAGGACGAACAGCGGAATGAATGAACCTAACATGTCCTTCTCTTTCATGTCAGGGAAGAAAGTGGGGAATCCTATTAGGTATTTGAACTTTAACTTTAGATACACAGCTGGAATAATGGACTCAAGCAGAACTAAAAACAATGGATAGGAAGACCAGAAAAATAACGACAATGAATCATACCCTTCATCCACGCAGTGACATTGACAGACTTTATCTACCAAGGCAAATAGGTGGGCGTGGAATGCTACAAGTACATCAGATGGTTGAAGAAGAAAAAATGGCTTTGGAAGAATATCTGAAGAACAATGATGAAGATGCACTGAAATTAGTATATCAGGAAGGCTTACTAACTACTGGAGAGACCGAACTGGCCTACAAGAAAGACCAAATGAAGAACAGAATAGAGGCATGGGAAGACAAAGCACTACATGGCCAATACATGAAAAAAATAGCTGGGAAAGCAGATAATAACAAGACCTGGCAATGGCTAAGAGCAGGAAAATTGAAGAAAGAGACCGAGGGACGAATTCTGGCTGCACAAGACCAAGCCTTAAGGACAAATGCATAAAAAGTCAAAATTGAGAAGACAGCAACAGACAATAAGTGCCGCCTATGCAAAGAAGCTGAAGAAACAGTGGACCACCTGGTAAGCTGTGCAAAAAGATCGCACAGACTGACTACTACAAGCAGCGGCATGACAAAGTAGCAACAATGGTGCATTGGAAGATCTACAAGAAATATCATTTGCCTGTAAGCAAAAACTGGTGGGATCATAAAATAGAGAAAGTCATAGAAAATGATAAAATTAAACTGCTCTGGGACTTCAGAATTCAGACAGACAAGCACCTGCAACATAACACCCCATACTTAACAATTGTCGATAAGAAAGACAAAAAAGTCTGGATAGTGGACGTGGCAGTGCCTGGAGACAGCAGAATAGACGAGAAAGAACTGGAGAAGATAACAAAATACAAAGACCTACAAATAGAAATAGAAAGACTGTGGCAAAAGCAAGCAAGGGTAGTACCAATATAATAGGTGCCTTGGGTGCAATCCCAAAACACCTGGAGCACCACTTGAACATCATTGGCACTGACAAATTCGCTATTAGTCAATTGCAAAAGGCGACCTTACTAGGAACTGCTTCCATCCTGCGACGATATTTGTAATACCATCAAACATCCACATCTGCCTATCCCAGATCCTTAGTAAGGATTCGATAGGTAGACAAAATGCCAAATCCAGTCTGAACACCTGGTTGACTGTGCGATGATCCATAATAATAATAATAAAGTTGGAAGGGACCTTGGAGGTCATCTAGTCCAACCCCCTGCTCAGGCAGGAAATCCTATACCATTTCAGACAAATAGCTGTCCAGTCTCTTCTTAAAATCTTCAAGTGCATTCACCACTTCTGGAGGCAGGTTGTTCCACTGGTTAACTTTTCTAACTGTCAGGAAGTTTCTCCTTAGTTCTAGGTTGCTTCTCTCCTTGATTAGTTTCCATCTGTTGCTTCTTCTCCTGCCTTCAGGGGCCTTGGAAAATAGCTTGACTCCCTCTTCTTTGTGGCAGCCCCTGAGATCAACTTCTATGAAAGACTCAAACTACTGGAGAAATACATTTAAATTCTGTTTTGGATTTCAAATGCCTGGTTATTTGTTCTAATGATTTCAAAGAAGAGTTAAATCAACATTAGAACTTTTAGTAAAACTTTAGATATCAGAACCCCGTTAATTATTCTGGCCCAAACCCCTTTGGGAACTTGAGAAGGCTGAGTTAACAAGCCACTATCCGATACTCAGAGGACGAAGACCAAAATGAATGAACCATTGACAACCTAACATGACCTTCTGATTCATGCAATTCCGACAAACACGTTCCCCACTTCTTAGCCTAATTCACGCTTTTCCAAAGACGGACAAATGAAGGCAAATATGGACTTCAACTCCCAGGCTTGAAAGAGGTTTGGGAAACACCAGCCCAACCGGGCACCGAATGCGAATGCTGCGTTTCAGCCTCACTTACGTCCTTTGTCTGCCGGCAGAGCCCCTTGGAGGTCGTGGGGAGAGGCGGGGGAAGCAGCACCCCAGTCCCGGTCCTCCACCCGGGGCCCCGGACTTGCACTCGGAGCAGGCAGGGGGATTTCCTTTCAGCCGCGCCTTCCCCCCGCCATGCAGAGGCTCCCCCGGGAAATGGGGGGAAAGGGCCCCTCCCTTCTGGCGACCCCCATTTCTCTCCTTCCCCCCCCCGCCCCCTTGCCGGGCCCTGCATGGAAAAGGGCGGCAGCGGAAGATGGGACCCCGGACTCCCACCTGGGGGGAAGACTTGGCCCGTCTCCACGCTCACCTCCACCGCGGGACCCCTTCGCACGGGCAGAGACGCCACTCGTGTAAATCGGGAGTCTCGTCGGGCTCCGCCTCCCCGCAGGGATTCCCGGCAGCCTCCGTGCCTCCCGTCCACGCCCCGCCCCCACCTCTCAGCGGAGGGAGGAGAAAGAGCAGCCTTTTCCTACGATTTCTCCGGGCAAAGCGGGTGTTCTGCCCGGGTGGAGGAGTCCTGCGCATGCCCAGTTCCCTCCTGAGGCTGAGAGACCTGTCTGGTGGACTCTGCGCGGAGTGTCAGCAGTACTCGAAAGGGCGGGAAAAAGGAGCGCGTCTGAAGCGAGGAGGGCAGAGATGATGGGTATGGGAGAAGGAAAGGACCCAATCAAAAGGATTTGGTGTCTGCAGAGGCGGTGTCTTTTCCATCTTCCTATCCAGGGACCATTTGTGGACATGGAGGGGAAAAAAAGATCTGGAGGATTTCAACTCGCTTCCCTCAAGGACACTCAACCTGAAGGCTCCTCAGAAAATGGCCTCAAAATGGGCCCTAATCCTCTCAGAAACTGAGGGGCGGTCAGATGACTAGGACTAGGAGGCTCTCTGGGAAACATTAGTTGTGTCTTGCAGTTGTTGTGAACTCTGCCTGAAGGGGAGGAAGATGAGACATTGGCAGGGAAGCCACAACTGGGAAAATGTATTTCTATTTCTCTGGTTCTGTATCTGCAGCTGCCCTTGTCCAATTTTTGGCTCCAGATGTCTCAGAATCACCAGGAAAGCCAAGCAGCTGCTTTGGATCCAGGAAAGGACGCTGAAGGGAAAGAAAAAACCGCTCCAAAGTGGGGGGAAAGTTGAAACTGGAGGATTTTCCAGAAATTTTACTTCACGACAAGGCTCCTTGGAGGAGAAATGAAAAGGGGAAAGCGGCGCCTTGCTTGTGACTGGAGAAAGGTTGGAACTGCAAAAGGATGGAAAGCAACTATGGAAAAGATGACATATCATTAAAATACTGAGGGAGAAAAAGGAGAGGAGAAATGTGTTTTATTTAGGGATTGAATAGTAAATACCCTCAGGAAATTTCTGTAGAAAAGCTCTCTGTAGAATTTAAGGCAGGGGTGTTCAAACTTGGCCTTTTTATGACTTGTGGACTTCAACTCCCAGAATCCCTGAACAGGCACGTTGGCTAAGGAATTCTGGGAGATGAAATCCACAAATCATAAAAAGGCCAAGTTTGAACACTCCTGATTTAAGAAAACTGGGATGTTGCTAGATCATTAGATCTTGGAGTTGTAGCAGACGATCACTTGACTATGAGCTAGTAATGTGCAGCAGACGCCAAAAAGATAACACAATCCTGGGTTGTATAAACAGAAGCATAGAATCAAGATCATGCAAAGTATTACTACCGCTTTATAAAACGGTAGTGAGACTACACATGGAATACTGCAAACAATTTTGATCACCATACTACAAAAAAGATGTTGAGGCCATGGAAAAAGTTCAGACAAGAGCAACTACGATAATCAAAGGCCTGGAAACTAAAACATATGAAGAATGGCTGCAGGATTTGGGTTTGGCTACTCTAAAGAAAAGAAGTAATAGTAATAGAAGTAATACATGATAGCAGTATTCCAGTATTTGAGGGGCTGCAAAAAAGAAGAGCAGGTCGAATTATTCTCCACAGCACCAGATGGCAGGAGAAGAAACAATGGTTGGAAATTGATCAAGGAGAGAAGCAACCTGGAATTAAGGAGAAAGTTCCTAACAGTGAGGTCAATTAACCAGTGGATCACCTTGTCTTCAGAAATTGTGGGCGCTCCATCACTGGAGGTTTTTAAGAAGAGACTAGACAGTCACTTGTCTGAGATGGTATAGGTTCTCCTGCTTGAGTGGGGGGCTGGACTAGAAGACCTCCAAAGTCCCTTCCAGCTCCTGCCCTGTCCTATCCTGTCCCATCATATCCTATCCTACCACAGGTTAGCAGCTATTTTTGTCTTGCTTGATCTACCGCTGGCGGATTTTCGCTGCTATACTGTATAAATTTGTTTAAAGTTTACTTGATGCAGAATGCTGATCCTTCCAGCTGGGCGGTAGTGCTGGACCAGGAAGACAGCACCCTAGCATCCCTGGGGCAAAGAACCACTGCTCCACCCAGAGGAGCATCTGCCTGGCCATCCCCGCTCCCTTCCCCTCGATGCCAAAGGGCCACAGAGGCTGGATTGGCACATGCATGGCATACACACAAACCCCCTTCCCTGAACTCTCTCAGAACCAGTAGATGGTCCGCCCCCATGCTCTGAGGTTGGATCAATTGCCACCACATATTTAAGCTGTGTCTCCATCCCATGCAAAGGTAACGCCCCGCTGTTTATACCGAACATCGTCCCGCTTATGCACGCTCACCTACTGTACATAAGAAATTCCCCCAAAATAAGACCTAATGGATCTTTTGGTCCCCCCTCCAAAATTATAAGACCTGATCTTATTTTGGGGGAAATACAGAATCTATTCTTATCTCTATCTTCTCTTTGTCAAGGGGCTTTCCTCTCCCCTTCCCATGCATAATCCTCTAATACATTAGCTGCTTTGGAGAATTCTGAACCTTAGCCACCTGCATGAAGCACGCTTCCATGGGGGTCTCATTCTTTTCTTGCAGTTATTTCAGCTCTGTCTCTTGGATCTCCACAAATTGCATTTTTCCCTCATTGCGAGCTTTTCCTTTGTAAACAAACTCTCAGTGAAGAAGAGACTGCAGCTGTTGTATATAGCACCACTGATATAAATTTTCATTTACATTAAATGTAGACTTTTTCTTAGCCCTCATCTCACCATAGAAAGGTAAAGTATGGTCCTTCTGCTTGGAAAGTCTTTTGCACATGCATTTCAGGGGCTTTTTGTCATTCTGGCTCCTTTTTGTGCAAGAGGATCTCTTCATCCAGCAACTTTTTTCACACTCTAATTATCTATGTGATTATTGTATCTCATCATGACAGGACTTTGACCGAAAGAAATTCCCTCCTTTTCCATTCACACTGGTTGACTTAGCTGTTTTTCACAATGGACTAAAGAGTTGGATTATTTTTCCTATTGCTTTTCACAGTCCAGAAGTTCCCATTCACATTTCTGCTATAGAGGAAGAAAGATTTAAAAAGTTTTCTCTTGAAGAGATGCATCAGGGAGATGCAGCTTCTTCTGCTTGTAGAAGCAATACCTATTAAATGTCTGCCTGTTCCCATCCCTCCTACATCAATCATTTTCCAACTCAATACTGGGATACATTCTCAGCTGAGCACCTTGTCCAAACTAAATACACTGAGGTGGAGACTGTAAATCCAGTGGGGTTTTCATAGGATTAAGCATTAAGTCACAGAGGATCTGATGTTACACTGTCACATCAGTTTCCTTTTTGAACATTTTTGTAATTTAGCACAATATCCCAAGAAGTTTTCTGTTTCAACATCTTCCAATTCATTAGGGATAGAATCAAGATCACGTGAAGTATTAATACCACTCTTCAATGCCTTAGTAAGGCCACACTTGGAATACTGCATCCAGTTTTGGTCACCACGATGTAAAAAAGATGTTGAGACTCTAGAAAGAGTACAGAGAAGAGCAACAAAGATGATTAGGGGACTGGAGGCTAAAACATATAAGGAACGGTTGCGAGAATTGGGTATGTCTAGTTTTACAAGGGGGGACATGATGTATTCCAATACAGGGGCTGCCATAAAGAAGAGGGAATTAAGCTATTTTCCAAATCACCTGAAGGCAGGACAAGAAGCAACGGGTGGAAACTCATCAAGGAGAGAACAACCTTAAGGAGAAACTTCCTGACAGTGAGAACAATTAATCAGTGGAACAGCTTGCCTCCAGAAGCAGTAAATGCTCCAACACTGGAAGTTTTTAATAAGAGACTGGACAGCCATTTGTCCGAAATGGTGTAGGGTTTCCTGCCCGAGCAGGGGGTTGGACTAGATGACCTCCAAGGTCCCTTCCAACTTTACTACTATTACTATTATATAACTTCTACTGACCGCTATAAAAAGCTTAACTGTAAAACAATGGCTACTTAAACCATTCTGTTCATAAGGCATCTTCTTTAGCATCACATTTTTTTGATAATTCATATTTAGTGATTATTTCCGCAACTCTTTTGTCAAACTGGCCACAGTTTTTTCCCTAGGAAAGAATGAGCCTTGATTCCATGGATGTTAAAAAAAAGGTACTTTTACTAGAGATACCGAGTGCAGCATAAGCAAGGCAAGCTCTGAAGAAAACTGCGCAAAAACTATATATTGAAAGCAATCTCCTATGTCCAAACCCCTTCCCTTGGCTAGATCAGTCCAATCCAATCCTGGTTCAATCTTTTAGCAACCTGATGCCTCACCAGCAGATATAATTCCTTTCCCAGGGCTGGTGTCCTTGAGGGCAGGAAGATGGCTCATTTTGGCACCACTGGCTCCTGTTGATATCCATACTCCCCAAATTCTCACAACAATCCGCTTCCAATGCTCTTCCCCTGCCAAGTGTCCCCTTCTTCCTAGTTATGGCAGTTGCTAGGGAGCTTCAAAGAAAGCAAAGATAGGCATCTGACATCTTTCGTGATTTATGCCTTTCCCATAGTATGCCTGGAATGACATTTTGCTAGCTCAGCCCGATGCTTGGTCTCAAAAATTAAACTTTTATAAAGTTTCATTGGGGATTTGGGCTTTCTTTATTATGATCCAATTGGAAATGGGATAAACATGAAGAAAAAAGATGTTCTCTTTTTTTTAAATGAAATGGCATTGATAGCCTTCAAATGACAGTAGCTAAAATAATCCACTGTTCATCATTAAAACACCACATGCATAGCATTTGGTTTCCATTAGTAAATTAATCTCTGGGGCGTCCAATTGTGAAGGTGAGTCAAAATGTTCAGTAGATGTAATTAGGAAATGCATATATTTCAACAACTAAACCTTGCAATTAAACAGTTTCTCACCCAAATGTATCTATATATGGAACATTTGCCCATTGGTCCTCTTGAAGATGTTTCCATATTTCACAGATTTATAGAGCTTTTACACTGTGCGGTCCTTTTATGAAAGTTAAGATAACTATTCGTAATAAAACCTTTTCCACACACCATACATTTATACGGCTTCTCCCCTGTGTGGATCCTTTTATGGGTGTTAACATAATTCTTCCTAGAAAAACACTTTCCACATTCAATGCATTTATAAGGCTTCTCCCCTGTGTGAGTCTTTTTATGGCGAGTAAGACTACCAGAGAAAGAAAAGCATTTTCCACACTCTATGCATTTATATGGCTTCTCCCCGGTATGTGTCCTACTATGGTAAATAAGTTGAGAGTTCTTAACAAAGCTCTTTCCACACTCCAAGCATGTATATGGCTTTTCCCCTGCATGGATCCTTTTATGGAAAACAAGGTCAGTGCTCTTAGGAAACCTCTTTCCACACTCCAGACATTTATAGGGCTTCTCACCTGTATGGATCCGATAATGCAAAGTAAGAGAAGTACTACAGGTGAAGCTCTTTTCACACTTTAGGCATTTATAGGGCATGTCTCCTGTATGGATTCGATAATGCAAAGTAAGATAAGTACTACGGGTGAAGCTCTTTCCACACTTCCTGCATTTATGTGGCTTCTCCCCTGTATGGGTCATTTTATGAATGTTAAGATAACTATTCGTAGAAAAACTCTTTCCACATTCCATGCATTTAAAGGGCTTCTCCCCTGTGTGGGTCCTTTTATGGATGTTAAGATGACTTTTTGTAGAAAAACTTTTTCCACATTCCATGCATTTATAGGGCTTCTCCCCTGTGTGGGTCCTTTTATGGGAGTTAAGAATACTGTTTGTAGAAAAACTCTTTCCACATTCCATACATTTATAAGGCTTCTCCCCTGTATGTGTCCTATTATGGTAAATAAGTTGAGAGTTCTTAATAAAGCTCTTTCCACACTCCAGGCACGTATATGGCTTTTCCCCTGCGTGGATCCTTTTATGGAAAATAAGGTCAGTGCTCTTACAGAACCTCTTTCCACACTTTAGGCATTTATAGATCTTCTCCCTTGTGTGGATCCTTTTATGACAAGCAAGACTGTTCCTATGAGTAAAGCTCTTTCCACACTCCATACATTTATATGGCTTTTCACCTGTATGGATCCGATAATGCAAAGTAAGATAAGTACTACGGGTGAAGCTCTTTCCACACTCCATGCATTTATAGGGCTTCTCTCCTCTGTGGATCCTTTCATGGGAAGTAAGATTGCTGCTCTGAGTAAAGCTCTTTCCACACTGAATGCATTTATAGGGCTTCTCTCCCGTGTGGGTCCTTTTATGTGAATTAAGATGAGTTGTATGAATAAAGGTCTTTCCACACACCATGCATTTATAAGGCCTTTCCCCTGTGTGGATCGTTTCATGTACAGAAAGATTTCTGAGTGAGCTCAAGCACTTTCCACACTCTGTGCATTTGTAGGGCTTCTCTCTTGCGTGAATCCTTTTATGTGAAGTAAATTCTCTATTGTTCGTAAAGCTGTTTCCACACTCCATGCACTTATAAGGCTTTTTCCCTGTATGGATTATTTGATGACATGTAAGATGACTGTTACTAGTAAAGCTTTTCCCACACTCCTTGCATTTATATGTTTTCTCTGCTTTGTGGATCTTTTTATGGTAGATAAGTTGATGGTTCTTAATAAAGCTCTTTCCACACTCCATGCACTTAGAGGGCTTCTCTTCTGCCTGGGTTCTTTCTTGAGATGTATGGGACCCATTTTTATTAGGAAGAGACAAGGTCCATTTGTAATTTTTCCCACTTTCTCTAGATATATAATCTTCTCCTTTGGTTTGGGTTTGATTGTGTTCATTTACATCAAATTTGTCTTTGAATGGTTTTATACATTTTCCAATATATTTGTTCTTTGTTTTTCCTTGTTGAGCCACAGATGCTTTCATTGGTGCATGAATGGAAGATGAACTTTCCTGATTCCAATTATTTGACTGGTTTCTCTCATGGCTTTCTACTTCCATTAGAATTGTAGGGTTCTTTGTATTGAATCCACAACTGATCACTTGGAATAGTTTTCCGGAATCTTCATTTTCCTCTCCATTATTACCTTCAAAAAGAAAAGAAGATTGAAAATTTTAAATATGAATCTAGGGTTGTATGGCAAGGGAAAAGCCATAAATTAAATATCAAATTCTCCATGGTTCGAAGGAAGAGGGAAGATTTGGTTTGCCTGATTTCAAATTGGACTTTGTAGTCTGCTGTGTGGTTTGGATAAGAAATGGGAGTTCTTCAGAAATAAGAGAATTGACCTGTGGGAATACCAAATTAAGTCAAGAATGCAAAAAGGATATACAGTGCATTCATAAAGTATTCAGACCCCCTTCGTTTCTGTCAAATTATTATGCTGCGCCTTGATTCTACAGTTGTTGAAAATCATTTTTTTCTCATTAAGGTACATTCAGTACCATATAAAGACAAAGTGAAAAGAATTTTAGAAATGTCTGTAAATTTATTAAAAAGAAAAAAATGAAATATCACATTGACAGGAGTATTCAGACACTTCATTCAGTACTTTGTTGAAGCACCTTTGGCAGCATTTATAGCCTTGAGACTTTTTGGGTATGATGTGACAAGCTTTGCACACCTGGCCCTTTGCAATAACATGTGAAATTCATGCCTCTTATTTCTCTTGATCATTACTGACATGTTTCTACACCTAGATTGGAGTCCCCCTGTGGTAAATTAAATTGACAGGACATGATTTGGAAAGGCACACAGCTGTCTATAGAAGGCCTCACTGCTGACAATGCACACTGTAGCAGAGTAAAAGCCATGAGGTCAAAGAAACTGCCTGAGCAGCTCAGAGACAAGATTTTTGCAAGGCACACATCTGGAAAAGGCTACAATAAAATTTCTGCTGCACTGAAGGTTCCTACTATAAATGGCCTCCATAATTCTCAAATGGAAGAAGTTTGGCACAACAAGAACTCTTCCAAGAGCTGGTTACCTGGTCAACTGATCAATCGGGAGAGAAGGACCTTAGTAAGACAGGTGACCAAGAACTCGATGGGCACTCTGACTGAGCTCCAGAGATCCTGTGTGGAGATGGGACAGTGTTCCAGAAGGACAACCATTACTGCAACCCTCCAACGATACGGGATTTATGACAGAGTGACTAGACAGAAGCCTCTCCTCAATGCAAAACACATAAAAGCGTGCTTGGAGTTTGCAAAAAAGCACCTCAAGGACTCTCAGACTGTGAGGAACAAGATTCTGTGGTCTGATGAAATCAAAGTTGAACTGTTTGGCCACCATTATAAACGTTATGTCTGAAGGAAACCAGGCACTGCTTATCGCCTGTCCAATACCATCCAAACAGCAAAGCACGTTCATAAAGCATCATGCTGTGTGGATATTGTTCAGCAGCAGGGACTGGGAGACTGATCAAGATTGATGGAAAGCTGAATAGAGCCAGATATAGTAATATCCTTAAAGAAAAACTGTTCCACTGGGCTGAAGGGATTGTCTTCCACCTTTCCCGCAGCTTCAATGGCAGCTGACACTGACCTCCTGAGAGGCAGCGCGGCAACTGAATGGTGGCCACACTACGAATGGGGATACACTATCCCCCAAACCTCAGCCATCCTCTCCATGGTGCGCTGCAGCTGATCCGAGGCGGCCAGCCAGGCATGGAGTGCCGCTGAAAACAGTGAGGCAGATGCGCACACAAACTCTGCTGCCAATTAAGTGGTGGCAAAGGCGGAAGGTAATCCTGCCCACCAGAGCAACTTGGCAGGGGTGGGGTGAGAAACCGAAAAGAGCCAAAAACAGCAGGTGTGCCCTTTGCAGTTGTCCTCCAGTAACATGCAGCCTCTCATTATAAGCAATCTGTCTCGCCCAGGGTCAGGTTCGCCGTCACAGGCGGCTCGTCTCGCATGTGCGGTGGACCTAAAGGACAGGGATGGGCCACACCTCCCTTAATGGCCAACTTGAACCTGGGTGAGCCAGACTGCTTCAGCCTGGCCTAAGACTTCCATTGGCCAGGCTTCCTGAAGGTGAAGAGTTTAGTCTGCAAGCAACATAAATCCTTCCATTCCCAATCATCCAGTCAGAGCTAAAAAAAAAAAATCTTGAATAAGAAGCAAAACAGCTTCAAAGAAAAAAATCAGAGGTGTACAGTCAGGTCCAGAAATATTGGGACATCGACACAATTTGAACATCTTTGTCTCTATACACTACCACAATGGAGTTGGAATGAAACAAACACAATGTGCTTTAACTGCAGACTGTCAGCTTTAATTTGAGGATATGTACATCCAACTGAGGTGAATGGGGTAGGACTTACAGCAGTTTGCATATGTGCCTCCCACTTGTTAAGGGACCAAAGGTAATGGGACAGAATAATAATTATAAATCAAACTTTCCCTTCTTAATACTTGGTTGCAAATCCTTTGCAGTCAATCACAGCCTGAAGTCTGGAACACATAGACATCACCAGACACTGGGTTTCATCCCTGGTGATGCTCTGCCAGGCCTCTATTGCAACTGTCTTCAGTTCCTGCTTGTTCCACCCACTAATGGACCAATCATTTCCTTCACTTTTTTCTTGTTTTTTACATGTTGAAAAAGCTTTTTTTGTTATTTTTTACTTTGGTCGCAAGCCTTAGTTCATTTTGAGACTTACCTTTCCTCACTTCATTTTTGCAGGCTTGGGCTATTTGCTGATATTCTGACTTAGTTATGTGCCCCTGTATCCACTTTCTATACTTGTCCTTTTTATCTTTCAATTTATCAGAGAGTTCTTTATGCAACCATGCTGATTTATTTTGAGAGCTGTTATTTTTCCTCTTTGTTGGTATTGTGCTAGACTGGGCTTTTATTATCTCACTTTTCAAAATTTCCCAAGCTTCTTGGGTTGTTTTCTCCTTGAGGATTCTCATCCATGGAATCCTTCCCAAGCCCTCTCTAAGTTTATTGAAATTAGCTTTCTTAAAGTCCAAGACTCTAGTTTGACTGTGTTCTATTGCTTGTGCTTCCATAATGTTGAATTCCAATACTGCATGATCACTTCCTCCCACGGTTCCTGTGGCTTCAACACCTTCTATCATTTCATCTCTGTTAGTGAGAATTAGATCCAAAATGGCTAATCCCCTAGTTCCTTTCTCTACTTTTTGGGAGACAAAGTTGTGCCCAACCTTTTGGGCACCAGGGACCAGTTACGTACAGAGAGGTACGTAAAGCAGAATTTGAATCTCACTTGCATAGAAAAGATGAATATGTAATTGCTAAAACCTCTAAATAGGCTGAGCAATGTGAAAATCAGCAGAAAACATATTTAAAAGTGCATAAATGTACCTCATACTTACACTGGAAATGTGGACAAGATAAAGGGTCATTTTATCATGCTTTAGTCAAGTGGACTTGTAAAAAACCTAGAAAAGTATGGATTCAAAGACATTCAGTGATACAGAGAACTTTAAAGATTAATATCCAAGTGAAATCAGAACACTTCACGTTGGCACTAATTAAAAGTCATAGAAGATAGTTTCTGAGTATGACAGCCATAGTGAGACTATTATACACGTAAAGCTGAAGGGCTCTGCAATAAGTAGAATGGTGGACTGGTTGGGGAAGATGATAGACTTTTCAATGATGACTTAATTGACTCTGATTAAGATAAGGATAGTATCTATATTTATTAGTGATTGGAAACCTCCAATGGACTTTGCTGAAAAAAAGAAAAATTGATCTTATCATCAAACATGTGTTCAAAGAGTAGTATGGATAAATTATGTAATGTAAAGAATGATGTAACCTTAGAAACGGGACAAATTTGAACTTCATTATTACTTTGTCTTTTCTCTTTCTTTTCTTGATTTAATCATAACTTTTTTCTCATTTATTATTCAATTATTTTCTTACTTTATACTTCAAAGTTGTTACTGTTTTTATTCTGATAAAATTTCTTTAATAAAAAGAGCTAATACATCTCACTCGGACTGGAGAGTAGGATATTCTTACCCAAAGAGGCCACGTTCCTATGATTTTCCAGCATGACTTCCCGATGCAGTGCTTTTTGGCCAGCATACAGCCGAGACCATTCCTCCTCGGAGAAATACACAGCCACCTCCTCAAAGGACACAAGACCCTGCTGAATGAGGAGAAAACAGAAGAAAAATCAGAAGGATTTTTAGTATCTGTCCTATTATTTAAGTGATTCCAAGCAAAGATATACATTTCAGGTCATTTAGTGAAATTAGTTGCACTTTTCGTATGGATCTGCCTCTCTGTCCCCTACTATCAGCAAGACTTTCAGCTCTGGAGAAAATCAACTGGAGTGGGCCTTGGAAACCCCACCCATCACTCACTCCAATCAACCCAATATTTGCAGATGAAAATGCAGTTGGTGGCAGTTCTTTTTACCAATTCAGTAAAAGGCTTGTGATGTCCACAGAGCAAACAATTTGATCCATGCTCAAAACCTTCATTAAAGTTGTTTGAGAGGCACCCAGGCATTTACATGGGTGTCATCAATAGACAAAGGGACACAAGCCCTGTTTCCGCTGCTCCTCAGATTACAAGGAATCCACAGCTTGTACTCCAACCCAATGGCTGAAGAAAAGAAACCTTCTTGGGAAGAGCATTTCTCATCCTTTCCAAAGCTGGATTGTTTGGCCCCAAATTCCAGGCACAAATTGGAGTATTAGAAATTCCTCTAAAGGCTGAAGGGCCTTGATCTGCCCACCCTCTTTGGATTTTAACCATCTGCTTCATATTTAACCTGGTGCCATTATTTTTCTTATCACTAAACAAGGCGTTTTAGAAGTTGTAAGGTGCCAATGTGATTCTTTCCGTTATTATTGCACAATTCCGTGCCAAAGGATTACTAACAGGACTACTATTCAGAAAACGCTAACATTGAGAACATTTTATCTTTTATTATACCTCTCTTACTTGAGTTGGAATTTCAACCACTCTTTCAGCACCACCATAGAAAGGAGTCAGATTCGTTCCATTCTTCCCTGTGAGGGAGACAGAATTTTTAAATGGATAATTAATAAAATGGCAGGAGGCCTTCTACAGAAGAGAAGAGAGAGAAGGTAAGACAGCTGGGACCTCTCTTGGGAATGGGTGGATTACCATCTGAGATGTCCTGACTTGTGGATTCCTGATAGATCCTCCTGGAAAACAGCTCCTGAGGAGAATTTGATGGATTCCCGATTCTCATAGGATCTCTGGTCTGCAGAGGGAAAGACTTGAATAAGACATCACCCAACATGAAGTGGATTCTTGTTCTCTAAAAACAACTTCGGTGCCCCAATATCAATCAATGAGCCTAGAATGTAAGAAAGGAACAGCTGTCTCTAGTTTGTCTTCTAGAATGGATAATGGAACAATGTCCTGCAAGAACTAGTGAAACATCGCCACATATTATGAAGAGTACAAAAGTAGGGAAGGGAGGGGTGAAAAATTCAAACACATTCTTTATTCTCTTCTGGATTTCAAAGATGAAGGTCTCTCACCTGAAATTCGACTTGCTCCTTCTGCTCCTCTGCCTGACTCATGAGGAAGCCTTCTGCCAGGGCCACCGCTTGGGAGCTGGTCTCTGCTCCACATTCCCGCAACCAGTTTTCCATTGGGGGGGGCAGAAGGGCCAGCAGCTGCTCCAGAACTACTAGGTCCAACATCTGGGCTTTGGTGTGCTTTTCTGGTCTCAGCCATTGACTATAAAAGTTGTGGAGTTGGCTGCAAAGTCGTCGGGGACCATCAATCTCCTCATATTGGATGTTTCTGAAGTTGCAGGGCTGAATCTCTGAACGGATGATGGTTTTCTCCTCCAGGGACCTCTGCTCAGTTTTTGCCCAGATCTTCCCACAGCTGCCAGGCTCAACAGCAGAGGGACCTTTTCCAGTTCCCCCACTTGCTAATGGTTGTATCTGCATCCTTTGTCTGTCCTGTAAGGAAGTTCCATACAGGACAAAGGAATCTTGTGGATCTCCAAATACGTTTCAATTCATAGGACTATTCCGGTAGCTGCAGAACTGACCAAAGGCTATCCAAGCTCTTCGCCCAAGAGTTAACTTTTTGTTGTTAGGAAGGTTGTTGACATTACTCTAGTTTCTGCGTCTGAAATGGAACAAAAAATAAATTTAAAAAATGAGAAGGTGGTGGACAACATTCCTCCTCATGAAAGTGAAGTCGGTAAAGGATTGCACAGGTATTCAGCAGATGGATCCTCTGGGTATTTCTCTTTTTGTCTGTCCATCAAGTGTGGTGTACAATATGGTCCTAGATTATATCAAGACGTGAAATATTTTATATTGGATTATAAAAGAAATATTTTATATTTGGTGGATTTTCAATATTTTTCCCCTGAAAGGCAAGTTAGCTTCCTTTCACATTTAAGATCATATATACCCTACAATTAGGGATCATACAAGATGCTACAACTCAAAGTGCTTAAGAAACTGCAATGAAATACAGAATTTTGACACGTTTCTTGTCCTTCATGTTGAGATTTAGGCACTAGACATTTATCAGTATTAAGGATGTTCCTCACTCTTGTTTTTAAGTTTGTATGTTTGTAAGTAACTGGAGGGATAGAGAAGAGAAAAGGAGGAAGTTCCAAAAATAGCTCATCCCAAGTTTACCTTTTGTCAGTGAGGAAAAGGAAGGAAACCGCTAATATGGATAATGCTGAATGAAATGATCCTGGGAAGGAACAACGTTCTATTGATGCCTGAAGGTTGAGTTCACATCAGATGAAATCCCAAGGAAATGACCCTGACTTAGGATGCTCACTTCCTGTTTTTCAGTGCTGGCTTTTTGGGAACAAAGTCATACTATAACACGAAGGCTGCTTCACACAATTTCCCTGACCCCAAACTGGTTAACCAACCATAAGGGCAAAGTTCACATGAAACACAGGGCTTGAAAGAACATACCTTAATGTGATGTTCACCCACCCTCTTAACTGTAATAATAATAGAGTTGGAAGGGACCTTGGAGGCCTTCTAGCCCAACCCCCTACTCAGACAGGAAACCCTATCTATACTGTACCTATACTGCACTAAAGATTTGCAGCTTCTATTTCCAAAATGGAAAACCAAAGTAAGTACCAGGAAATCAGGGTGTTATATGCTCCTGGCTACTTTCCTTCGTGACCAGAGGCAAGCTCCCTGACAATAACCAGCCAAGACACAGTGAAGGCCTTTTGTTTCGTTTATTGCAATAAGCAGGGAGAGAAGCTTTTTTTTTTTCCTTATTGGCCGGCACACTGGCCGGGGAGGCGTCCCTCCTCTTCAAACTCTTATTGCCCATTAACACCTCTCTGATATACAGATACCCCTCTGGTATCTTACCTGTCAGGCTGAGTTGAAGTCCTTCCTTAGGTCTGCCGACTTTCCCTTAGGTTTTCACTGGGTCCTGGCTTTCATCTCGGGATCTCCAATTCCTCCTTGTTTGAGCAGGGGCAATCCGACCTTTAGGGCTGGGAAAAACTTACCCAGGTGCGCACTCCCCTTTCGAATATCCCCGGCTGCCAAAGATGGAACGGATGCAAATCCCGGAGGAGCCCCCAAGGCTGTTATGTGCTCCTGGCTACTTTCCTTCGTGACCAGAGGCAAGCTCGCCTGACCAATAACCAGCCAAGACACAGTGAAGGCCTTTTGTTTCGTTTATTGAAATAAGCGGGGAGAAAAGCTTTCAAAGCTTGGTTCTCTCCAGAGTTTTAACCCAAAATATCTCCTTCTTTTATTCATCCCTATCACCGGCTGCTACAGCCCTCCTCTTTCCCCATTGGCTGAGGTAGTATGAGGTTACACTCTTTCCGTCCGCCTATACACATTTCCTGATAACATACTAAATCATATTCACTTCTACAATAAGAATAAGAAAAATTATTTTCTTATGGTTATTTTTAAACTCAGATATATTTAAACAATAAGTTCTTTTCCTGTTCTCCATTCATTGTGCCTCTCTTCTTATCTTATTTGGCATGCTTTCCTGCTTTCCTATACTTCCTGGCTAGCCATTTCCTATATATTTTTATAGCTTTCTTCTTCCTTTCTCAAACCCAGCTATTTTTACCTATATGGTTATCTTACTTCCTTAATCTCTTCCTGACTCTCACCATCTGTATTTCTGACTGAAGATTTATCATATTAATGTATATTTATCAATCCCCCCTGTATTTCTGTATACTCTGATGAATCTTCATTTTTGGCTATATTAGATAACATAAATTGAATCTGTACATCTTCTCCAGAGATGTTTCTCGCTACTGACCCCAATGTTTTGGTGCAAAATGAAATACAGCAGGGTAAACATTGGAGACAGACACAACACATAATACCTATCACAACTATAAACACTAGTCCTATAAATATTTGTTTTAACCATCCAAAATTGGGAAGCCAATTTGTTAACCAACTCCAATCACCCCACATATTTTCATACTTTTGTTCAGGAGCTTTGGCCACATTCCTGATTCCTTTTGCAATATCCATCACTGCTTCATGATTGTCAGCTACCTTTAAATCCCACAAACAAATTTTTACCTTTATTTCCCAGGCTGTTCTGGTGTGTTGTCTTCAGTAATATTAGAAGTAGAATCCACCCTTCATGATTATTACACAGTATTTCACACCCACAAATTGATCCACAATTACAACAATAACAAAAATCACTAGCTATTACAGAGGTAACACATCTACCACCTAATTCTTACAATGTACAATTCTACATTTTCAGTTTCTAATGGTATGACTTCTGACTTAGTTATTCATTTTATTTGTAACAAACAACTTTTATTTTTCTGATGAGTCACCACCAACATCTTTGTTCTTCATCTGGGGTCACCTGAAATTCTAATAGAGATATTCAAAATAGGTAGGGGTTCTGGTCCACTACCCATTCAAGTCCTTTTAAACGTGGCTTTCAGTCCTTGTCCTGGAATAACTGTCCACCCTCTTTCAGGTCCAGTCACCACCTTTGCTCATGTGTAGTGAGTCCAACCCTTCTCAGCCCTCCGGACAGCAGATATAACATAAGGAACTTCCTTTCTTTGGTTGTAGAAGTTCCTGCTTCCATTTACGATTCAGCACCCACTGTCCCGGCTGGATCTTATGGACTGGAAATTCCAAAGGAGTTGTTTTGCCACCAAGCCTTCCTGTCAAAGAGAAGACAGAGACCCCAGTACTTGTTCTATATTTAGCTATTTGTCTCCCTCCTTTGGGAGCCTTAACCCTTTATTAACCCTTTTACATATCAAACCATGGTTGCCATGGTTTTCCCAGTTGCAATGTATGGCTGTGAAAGTTGGACCATAAGAAAGGCTGAGCGCAAAAGAATTGAGGCCTTTGAACTATGGTGCTGGAGAAGACTCCTGCGAGTCCCTTGGACTGCAAGGCGTTCAAACCGGTCAGTCCTAGAAGAGATCAACCGACTGCTCTTTAGAAGGCCAGATCCTGAAGTTGAAACTCAAGTACTTTGGCCACCTAATGAGAAGGAAGGACTCACTGGAGAAGAGCCTAATGCTGGGAAAGATTGAGGGCAATAGAAGAAGGGGACGACAGAGAATGAGATGGCTGGATGGAGTCACTGAAGCAGTAGGTGTGAATTTAAATGGACTCCAGAAGATGGTAGAGGACAGGAAGACCTGGAGGAACGTTGTCCATGGGGTCGCGATGGGTCGGACACGACTTCGCAATTAACAACAACAACAACACATATCAAACATCCCTCTGTAGCCCTTTGGGCTATCTCATAAATTCCAAGGGTAGCATAGAATTTCAAATACATTTCTACCTATGCTTTAATTCCCCAATATTTCCCCTCATATAGTTTTTGGATCACCATTCTTGCAGTACCTTGTGATAACCACAGAATCCCCTTAAGACTATTTTTGTTGTTTGGTAATTATAAATCTATATCCTTAATCCTTTTACTATCTACCCTCCTTTCCCCTTCTATAATATATTCTAGATATTTTACATCCTTTCATACCAATTGGGCTTTATTTGCTAGACACCCTCAATCCTTTCTTCTGCCAAAAAGTTGCTTTCCCATTTCTTTATAATTCCCAGAATAAGTTCTTACAAAATTGGGAAGCTACATAAAAATGTATTTGCTTCCACAGCTTAAAAGGGGAGGAAAGAAAAGAAAGAAAAAAATCTTTTGTCCTGTATCAGATAGACTACACTTGTCCATGGAAGCTCTATCAAAAATTGTCACATTTTTCTTTCTTCTCCCCCTTTCACCCTGATTGGATACCATGTTACAAAAATATAACTCAATAAACTTATTGTAAATAACACATTCAGGATTTTAAAAGGTAAAGCACATAGGCTCACCAATTAGCATTGGGCCAACATTTCTGGAATGCCTTTTGTCTCAGGCAAATAACATTCAAATCACTCTTGTGTCAGCACATCAAAGATAGCTAAGAAGACAAAAGATTGTCTCCCCCTTCCCCCACTCATTAAACCAGACAGAATAAAAATTTATACAAAACTTTTGCTTGAAACAGCCCTCAGGAGGAAAATTGCCATAACATTTACAGAAATGGCTTGCCAATACCTTCCTCCTAGGGTTGAACAAAAATAAACCAGCCCCAAAACACTCAGCCAACCCTCATGGCCAAAGCAGGATTTGAACTCAAATCCAGCCTTGCAGCCTGTGGCTATAACCCTGAAACCAAATTGGTTTTCTATAAAGATTTCCCTCCCCCTCCTTGGCTCCATGGAAAAGGAAAACAAATTGTAGACACACAGTATGCAGCAATTAATCATCTTTTCTGCAGTAGCAAGGAGTTCCAAAGACACATATTTATCAGATGTTAAATAAAACATCATAAGATTGTTCCTTTGACAAGAATAGCCTCAAATGCATTATTAAGGATAAATCCAAACTAAAATGCAAAGGAAAATCACTGAAGCATGCCACACATACAAAAACAGAATATCAGAGTTGGATGGGACATTAGAGGTCCTCTAGTCCAACCCCTTACTGAAACAGGAAACTCTATCCATTTCAGATCCTATCAATTTCTAACCTCCTCCCAAAAACCTCCAATAATTAAGCATCCACAGTTTCTGGAGACAATTATCCCACTGATTAATTATCCTTACAGTCAGGAAATTTTACCCAATTTCTGTTCTTTAAAAAAAACATACACACAAACAAACATGCAGACAGAAACTGCCTCCCCCCCTTTTCTTCTTCTTCTTTCTTCTTCTTTCTGCATCTCTTACTTTTCCAAGGCAGAAATTCTTGGGTTAAAAAAGTAACAAACTAAACATTTTTAAAAGGATTGCTCAAAAATTTCACCCCCCTTCAATAGCCCTTCCACCATAGGTTTTAAATCCATTCTTCCTTCCAATGTAATGTTATACTGTTTCTGATGTACAGCTTCTCCTGGTTGTTTAAGAGTTACTTTTAAGGGTTTAATTTGAACCCTTCCCCTATTCCCCTCCTTGGCCCAAACTGAGGGGTTCACTTTTCTTTGAGCCTCCTCACTTAAGGCCATAATGTTTACTATTATTTCCCTTTCATTCCCCATAATAACAATCCCCAATTTACCAATTAAATCCCTTCCAACCAAATTACAGCTCCCTTCAACCAATACAAAATCACACCATACCCCAGGCTCTTTTTCTTGAGACTTAACTATAGTGGGTTCACTTTTCTAGCTTCCACTATATGCCCACCTATGCCTTGTGCCCTAATTTTTCCTTGTCCAATTTTCAATCCTTTTGGTATGAAGTTCAATGTGGATCTGGTGGTTCCAGAATCAACCAAAAACACAATGTCTTCATTCTCTGGTCCAACTTTCAAAGTCATCAGGGGTTCCTGGAAAGCTGGACCCAAAAACAGTTTTGTCCCTTGACTCCCCTAATCTTCAAAGTTCACCAAATGTGCTAGTTCTTCCCCCTCCTTCCTCTTAAGGTACCGTACTCATTTTCCCAGTGTCCTTCCTCCTTACAGCAGGCACATTTGTTTATTTATTTAAAGACTGGGGAAAATTTTTCTCCTAGAGATTTATATCCCCTGGTGCCAACTGGCTGTCCTCACCCCCAGCCTGCCTTTCCTAATTACTCTTCCTCTTTGCTGGCCTGTTTGCAATAATTGAGCCATGAATTTTATCTTATCTTACGTTTATCTCTCTCCTCTTCTCTCTTCACATATACTTTCTGAGCCTCTTTTACCGCTAATAAATCTTTTATTGTTTTAGTTTTCCATCTGTCTAATTTCTGCATTTGTACCCTAATACCTTCCCATGCTTTGCATTGGTCCTAAAAACATTTCTAACCTGTTTTCCTACTTCAATAGGATCTTCTATTAGTTTGGGCAATTCTTTCCTAGATTGCCTGATTTCAAAAGCTGTTAGGGGGGAAAATTCCCCCCCCCTTGGAGAGAGGTTTTCTCCTCTCTTGTTACCTTCCAAACTATAGGAACCTCAAGAAATACATAGCTTTCTACTTAACTCTTTCACACAAAATAGCGGATCAGAGATCTCGCCTTTCATCCTGGCCAAGCATAAAACTTCACACAGCTCCTTTCTCTCGCTCTCCCTCTCTTCCATTTGATTATTTCCATTCTTTTAACACCTTCCATTGTTCTTCTAATTACTAAGAAACTACCCTTCTTCACCCTTTCTTGCTTTTACACCAGACACAAAAAATTCCAAATGCTTCACCCCAGGCAAAACAATCATTAAGACCTTGTTGTTTTGTATATTACTGTTAGAGGGTCTCTCCCTCCCCTCCCCCAGGTTTTTAGAAATGAGTCAATACAAACACACAAACACACAGACCATTAAACATCATTTCCACTTTAAATCTCCACTTTTACTCTTTTTAGGGCTTGTAGCTTGTTCTCTAGGCAATGGGAAACGCAAGGAGCGTTTCTGATAGACTTTAACCACTGCCTATCCATTCCCCATCGCTCTAAGCTAAGCTGAGAAGCCCAATTTAATTTATTGGCTGGCCAAACATGTACTTAGGCCAGGTATATACTGTAATGTATCATCCTTCCTTTGTTCAAATGCCTTGTTTAAAGCATTGACTTAAAACACTTCAACATTCTCCCTAAAGGATTCCCATCTCCCTAAGGGGGTTCATTCCAGAATGTAAATACCTTTCCTTTTTTTTTTTTTTTCCCTTATTGGCCGGCACACTGGTGGGGAGGCGTCCCTCCTCTTCAAACTCTTATTGCCCATTAACACCTCTCTGATATACAGATACCCCTCTGGTATCTTACCTGTCAGGCTGAGTTGAAGTCCTTCCTTAGGTCGGCCGACTTTCCCTTAGGTTTTCACTGGGTCCTGGCTTTTCATCTCGGGATCTCCAATTCCTCCTTGTTTGAGCAGGGGCAATCCGACCTTTAGGGCTGGGAAAAACTTACCCAGGTGCGCACTCCCCTTTCGAATATCCCCGGCTGCCAAAGATGGAACGGATGCAAATCCCGGAGGAGCCCCCAAGGCTGTTATGTGCTCCTGGCTACTTTCCTTCGTGACCAGAGGCAAGCTCGCCTGACCAATAACCAGCCAAGACACAGTGAAGGCCTTTTGTTTCGTTTATTGCAATAAGCGGGGAGAGAAGCTATCAAAGCTTGGTTCTCTCCAAAGTTTTAACCCAAAATATCTCCTTCTTTTATTCATCCCTATCACCGGCCGCTACAGCCCTCCTCTTTCCCCATTGGCTGAGGTAGTATGAGGTTACACTCTTTCCGTCCGCCTATACACATTTCCTGATAACATACTAAATCATATTCACTTATACAATAAGAATAAGAAAAAATATTTTCTTATGGTTATTTTTAAACTCAGATATATTTAAACAATAAGTTCTTTTCCTGTTCTCCATTCATTGTGCCTCTCTTCTTATCTTATTTGGCATGCTTTCCTATACTTCCTGACTAGCCATTTCCTATATATTGTTATAGCTTTCTTCTTCCTTTCTCAAACCCAGCTATTTTTACCTATATGGTTATCTTACTTCCTTAATCTCTTCCTGACTCTCACCATCTGTATTTCTGACTGAAGATTTATCATATTAATGTATATTTATCAAGGGTAACTATGTTAACAAGCGTTAATCAATCCCCCACCCCACCCCCAAAAATATAACAAGAAGAATATCTTATAAAACCACTAAGATCAGGGAAGAAAGTGAGGAATCCTATTAGGTATTTGAACTTTAACAGCTGGGTCATATTCTGATAAATCCTTCTTGATCAACTTCTATGAAAGACTCAAACTACTGGACAAATACATTTAAATTATGTTTTGGATTTCAAATGCCTGGTTATTTGTTCTAATGATTTCAAAGAAGAGTTAAATCAACATTAGAACTTTTAGTAAAACTTTAGTCATCAGAACCCCATTAATCAGTCTGGCCCAAACTCCTTTGGGAACTTGAGAAGCCTGAGTTAACAAGCCACCGTCCGATACACAGAGGACGAAACACCCTAATGAATGAACCACTGACAGCCTAAGATGAGCTTCTGATTCATGCAACTCCGACAAACACGTTCCCCACCTCTTAGCCTAATCCACACTTTTCCAAAGACGGACAAATGAAGATAAATATGGACTTCAACTCCCAGGTTTGAAAGAGGTTTGGGAAACAGCAGCCCAACCGGGCACCGGGTGCGAATGTTGCGTCTCAGCCCCGATTGCGTCCTTTTTCTGCCAGCAGAGCCCCTTGGAGGTCGTGGGGAGAGGAGGGGGAAGCAGCACCCCAGCCCCGGTCCTCCACCCGGGGTCCCAACCGGAGCAGGCACGGGGACTTCGGGCCAGCCACGCCTTCCACCCGCCATGCAGAGGCTACCCCTTGAAATGGGAGGAAACGGCCCCTCCCTTCTGGCGACCACCATTTCTCTGCTTCCCCTCCCCCATGCGAGCCGCTGCATGGAAAAGGGCGGCAGCGGAAGATGGGACCCCGGACTCCCACCTCGGGGGAAGACTTCACCCGTCTCCAAGCTCGCCTCCAGCGCGGGACCGCTTTGCACGGGGAGAGCCGCCACTCGTGTAAATCGGGAGTCTCGTCGGGCTCCGCCTCCGGTCAATGCTCCGCCCCCGCCTCTCAGAGGAGGGAGGGGGGAAGAGAAAGAGCAGCCTCTTCCTACGATTTCTCCGGGTAACGCGGGTGTTCTGCCCTGGTGGATGAATCCTACGCATGCCCAGTTCCCTCCTGAGGCTGAGAGCGCCGTCTGGTGGACTCTGCGCGAAGTGTCAGCAGTACTAGAAAGGGCGGGAAAGAGGAGCGCGTCTTGGGTATGGGAAAAGCAAAGGCTTTGATATCTCCAGAGGCGGCGTCTTTTCCATCTTCCTATCCAGGGACCATTTGTGGACATAGAAAAAGAAATATCTAGAGGATTTCAACTCGCTTCCCTCAAGAATACTCGACCTGAAGGCTCCCCAGAGATTGGCCTCAAAATGGGCCCAAATCCTCTCAGAAACTGAGGGGCGGTCAGAAGACGAGGACCAGGAAGCTCTTTCGGAAACACTATTTGTGTCTTGCTATTGTTGTGAACTTCGCCTGAAGGGGAGGAAGATGAGACATGGGCAGGGAAGCCACAACTGGGAAAATGTATTTCTATTTCTCTGGTTCTGTATCTGCAGCTGCCCTTGTCCAATTTTTGGCTCCAGATGTCTCAGAATTACCGGGAAAGCTGAGCAGCTGCTTTGGACCCAGGAAAGGACACTGAAGGGAAAGAAAAAACCGCTCCAAAGTGGGGGAAAAGCTGAAACTGGAGGATTTTCCAGAAATTTCACTTCACAACGAGGCTCCTTGAAATGAAAAGGGGAAAGCGGCGTCTTACCTGTCACTGGAGAAAGGTTGGAACTGCAAAAGGATGGAAAGCAACTATGGAAAAGATAACATATCATTAAAATACTGAGTGGAGAAAAAGAAGAGGAGAAATGTGTTTTATTTAGGGACTGCATAGTAAACACCCTCAGGAAATTTCTTAGTAAAGCTCTCTGTAGAATTTAAGGCAGGGGTGTTCAAACTTGGCCTTTTTATGACTTGTGGACTTCAACTCCCAGAATCCCTCAACAAGGCACGTTGGCTAAGGAGTTCTGGGAGTTGAAGTCCAAAATCATAAAAAGGCCAAGTTTGAACACTCCTGATTTAAGGAAACTGGGATGTTGCTAGATCATTAATGAAAAGTACAATAATTGTCTATTTTTCTTTGACTGACACTCTGTTCCATTTTTGTAATGAAACATGGACAATAACTGGCAGAAAATTGGAATTGGTGCCTTCTCTCCATTTTGACACAGAATCATCCAGCAGTAATATTTGAATAAACAGCTGCAACCCCGCAGGACGTGTAAACTCAGGCTCAAAATCCTCTCAATTATATTTGCTTATTAACAATTATTAGGTTAGGTCTTTTCTTATTATTGTACAGTAAGCAGATGCAAAGACAGCAATTGTTTTTCCCACAAAAACTTTTATTACACACACTTAAACTCCCACTCTTTACTTGTAAACTGAATGCTAACCTGACCTTGCTTATTTTACTCTCTTTCTGTTAAGCAAGAAAATTGTAAGGGAACGCCTTTCCGACATTGACAAATATAAATCACCAGGACGTGACAGATTACATCCCAGAGGTCTGAAGGAGCTGGAAGATATTATCTCAGAACAATTGCACCATATGTTTCAAAAATCTTATAGCACGGGAAGTACCTGAGCATTGGAAAAGGGCTGATATGGTTCCTATCTTCAAGAAAGGGAAAAAAACAGACCCAGGAAACCAATCAGTCTAACATCAGTACCTGCGAAGATAGTGGAAAAGTACTGAAAAAACAGATCTGCAGACAACTAGAAGCAAAAAAAGTTATAACTGGTAGCCAGCATGGGTTTGTTAAAAACAAATCATACCAAACCAATCTTATTTCCTTCTTTGATAAAGTGGCCAAATTAGTAGACCAGCAAAATGCTGTGGACATAGTATACTTACATTTCAGTAAGGCGTTTGACAAAGTAGACCACAATCTACTGCTTGGTAAGCTAGAAAAAGGTGGAATAGACAACATCACCACCAGATGGATTTGTAGCTGGCTGACAAACTGTACTCAACAAGTAGACCTCAATGGTACTATATCCACACGGAGACAAATAAGCAGTGGGGTACCACAAGGCTCTGTCTTAGGCCCAGTACAATATCTTCATCAATGACTTAGATGAGGGAATAGAAGGGAAACTCATCAAATTTGCAGATGACACTAAACTGGCAGGAATAGTCAATACCCCAGAAGACAAGTTGAGGATTCAAAAAGTTCTTGACAAACTTGAACAATGGGCCCTATCCAACAAAATAAGTTTTAATGTGGAGAAAAGCAAAGTTTTACATTTAGGCAGGAAAAATGAGAGATATACAGATTAGGTGAGACCTGGCTCAAAAATAGTAACTGTGAGAGGGATCTTAGAGTTCTAGTAGATCACTTGACTATGAGCTAGTAATGTGCAGCCGCCGCCAAAAAAGGTAACACAATCATGGGTTGCATAAACAGAAGCATAAAATCAAGATCACGCAAAGTATTACTACCACTTTGTAAAACCCTGGTAAGACTACACATGGAATACTGCAAACAATTATGGTCACCATACTACAGAAAAGATGTTGAGGCCATGGAAAAAGTTCAGATAAGAGCAACTAAGAGATAATCAAAGACCTAGAAACTAAAACATATGAAGAACATCTGCAGGATTTGGGTTTGGCTACTCTAAAGAAAAGAAGTAATAGGGGTGACATGATAGCAGGATTCCAGTATTTGAGGGGCTGCAAAAAAGAAGAGGGGGTTGAATTATTCTCCAAAGCACCAGAGGGCAGGAGAAGAAACAATGGTTGGAAGCTGATCAAGAAGAGAAGCAACCTGTAATTAAGGAGAAAGTTCCTAACACAGCAGTTCTCAACCTGTGGGTCACGACCCTATTTGGGGTCAAACGACCATTTCACGGGGGTTGCCAAACAACGCAGTCCGCCATTTCTTTCCCCCTTTTCCTTAGCTGTGCTACTCCCTTTTATTCTATTGGCTGTTGAAAGCCAATAGAATAGACTCTCTTGAATAGAGTCTAATTCTATTGGCTTTCAAAAGCCAATAGGAATTGTCCAGGCTGTCTCTGCCCTGCTGAGCCCGCCAAAACTCCCATTCTGGAAACGGTGCTGCAAGTTGTCTGCAGCCAAGGCGAGCTGTCTGGAAGTTTCCACCCCTCCCTGCTGAGCAACTACTAAAAATGTAAGTAAAAGAGGGCCAGAGGTGGGAGATGGGAGGCCGGCAGGTGCAGGAAGGGTTGCTGTTGCGCGTGGGGCCAAGCAGGTGCCTTACCTCGGGCTGGGCCAGCTGGTGGCCCAGCCGATGGTCGGTCTGCTCCATCTCTGCCACTTGCCAGCTACACCTTGGCCGGCGCAGGGGGCGGCACCACGCATGTGCGGTGCTCCCAAGCAGGGAAAGTCCTCGATGTACGACCGGTTGGGTAGTCCTCAACTTACGAACGGTTAGGTAGTCCTCGACTTACGACCAGTTGGGGGTCGTGGCATTAAAAAGGTTGAGAACCACTGTCCTAACAGGTCAATTAACCAGTGGAACACCTTGCCTTCAGAAATCGTGGGTGCTCCATCACTGGAGGTTTTTAAGAAGAGATTAGACAGTCACTTGTCTGAGATGGTATATGTTCTCCTGCTTGAGTGGGGGGGCGGGACTACAAGACCTCCAAAATCCCTTCCAGCTCCTGTCCTGTCCTGTCCTATCCTATCCTACCACAGGTTAGCAGCTATTTCTGTCTTGCTTGATCTACTGTTTCCCCCCCAAAATAAGACCTACCCCAAACTGAAGAACTTAGGTTCATTTTTAATGTTGGGCCTAATATCAGCCCTACCTCAAAATAAGCCCCTGCAGCCAGACCTATCACACCCTGACACCTGTCACACCTCGCCTGCTCAATGGCTTCTCCCACTTTCTCCTTCTTCCCCCTTTGAACAGCCCTTCACTCCTATTGCTGCTTTTTCAGTCCTCGATCTCGGTTTGTCTGGAGCCTGTGCAGAGGGTCTTTGGAAACGAAGCCCCCCAGAGATTGATTGGGTGGCAACCATTCACTTTGCTTTTGGACTAAAATTGTCTGAAATTAGCAGCCCAAGGGCTCCAATCTGGCTTTGCAACAAGCAAAGGGATTGGAGGCACATGAATTCACGCTAGTCTGGCATCTCAAAAAAACAAGGTTTTTTACCCGCTGGCAGATTTTCGCTGCCACATTGTATAAATTTGTTTAAAGTTTACTTAATGCAGAATGTGGATCCTTCCAATTCTGCATCAACTAAAGTGCCCACCTTTCTCTCATGCGTTTACTTCGCTAAATCAATCACCCATATAGAAGTGAAGTTTAGCAGAATGAGCACCAAGGCAGAGGCAAAGGCACAACAGGAAGCTTCCCACAAGCATTTCTTTGCTAACCTCCTTTCCAGCTGTCATGTTTCTCTGTCTCAGTCATGTTTCTCTACCTCCACATGCAGGGAAACAAAAGAAGTTTGTGGAACTAAAAAAGTTCAATCAGACCTTCCAATTTCTCGTGAAAAAAAAAAAAAGATTTTGCGACATTGGAAGGTCTGATTGAAGTTTTTTATTTTTTTAGCCCCACAAACTTTTGTTTCTCTGCATGCGGAGACGGAGAAAAGTGACGGAGACAGAGAAACATGATGGAGCTGGAAAGCAGATTAGGAAAGAAATACTTGGGAGAAGGGAGAGCAACTGGGCGATAGTGCCAGACCAGGAAGATAGCCCCCTAGCATCCGTGGGGCAAAGAACCACTGCTCCACCCAGAGGAGCATCTGCCTGACTGCCCCCCCTTTCCCCTCGCCCAAGGGCCGCAGGGGCTGGATTGGAACATGAATGGCATGCGCACCCCTTCCCTGAACTCTTAGAACCAGTAGATGGTCCGCCCCAACACTCTGAGGTTGGATCAATTACCGCCGCACATTGAAACTATTTCCACCCCATGCGAAGGCAACGCCCCGCTGTTTATACTTATGCTTATGCGCACTCAC